TCCTCAAAGTGAAGGCATAGGCCAAGAACTCACCGTCGTAATCTCCGCCAACTTGGCATTCTGTTCCCGGAACAAGGGTCCGACGACGGGGTGCTCCGGCCCCGCCGGAACGACATCGCTCTTGTCGTATACAACGACGAGCATATCCCGGATGTCCGAGCTCGAGTCGAAGAACGCCCGCAGCTTGGCATCGTTCCACGAGTTGCTGGTCTGGCTGCCGCCAGCCGAGCTCGAGCTGGTGGTCATGGAGTCCTGGGCCGCGTGGCGTCGCGTCGTTTCGTCGGCTTCGATGAGCTCGGGTGACGGCGAGTCGGACGAGTGGCCGCTGGACGTGTCGACCATGAGCGCAGGCGGGTTGCTGGCGCCCACGGGCGAAACCTCGACGGGCGACTCGGAGAGGCGGTCGCTGGGCTTTGCGGCTGTCGACACATCGCCCGGCGTGATCGTCTTGTCCGACTGGGCGCTTGAGGTTGTCTGTGTGCTGAGGTAGCTGTCGGGGAACGCCCCCGGCAGGGATGGTCGCAGTTGCTTATCCTCCGTCTTCGCCTCCTGCGCTTGTTGCTGCTGTAGCTGATGCTGCTGCGACGGCTCGACGGGTGACGAGATGGACTCCTCGTCGGGCGAGTCAAAGTCATCTAGCTCCACCCGGGCTTTCGCCTTGGTAACCTTCTGCGGCTTCTCAACCTTGTTGCCCTTGTCGTTGCTTCCTGACCGTGACAGCTTGATCTTTGCGAGGCCCGACCTCTCCTCCTTCTGCTGCGATGCCGAGCGGGCGAGCTCGGGCGAGCGGTCCCGGCTGGAGCTGGACATGCTGGAAGCGAGCGACGTCTCGGCAGCATCCTGCTCCTGAACGATGCGCATCGACGCAGACGCCGGTGGCACATTGGATACGTCATTTGTCCTGCCCTCGGACGCAATGTACTCGGCGAGTTCGCGGGTCGAGCTCTTCTGGGGCGCCGATCCGGGTTTGCGTGTCGGCGACGGCTCGCCGCGGGGCTGTGGCTTCTGCAGCTTGCTCGGGTGCCTCTGGGGACCGCCCCTCTGCGGCGAGTCTTGGACGCTTTCGTCATCGTGGTCCTCGTTGACCGTGTCCATCGACCGCTTGCCGAGCGAGTCGTCGTCGTCGTCGTTGCTCGCCTTCTTCTTGTCCTTCCGCGAGAAGAAGCTGCGAATCGCGCTGGGCTTCTTCTCCTTCTTCTTCTTGTCGTCTTCTTGTCCGGCTGCAGCTCCCTCTCCAGCTTTTCCATTTGTCGAGACTGGCCGCTGCTTGAGCTCCTGGAATCATTTGAAGGATCATCGGCGCGTAGATCGCGCGCGCAGTAAATTCAGACGTCGAGGATGATCCTTCTTCGGCCTCGACTAGTCTCGTTCGGTAAAGAAAAGAGATCTGACGTTGGCGGACCAGTACTCAATCCTCGACCTGCTGGGACCCGTCGGGCTTGGCCTCGAAGAACTGCTCGCTGCTGCGCCGCGTCTCGTCCTCATCGATCACCTCCTTGATGACTGGTTCGGCAAGTTTGACCTCCTTCGGTGCCCTGGGCTTGAGAGGCTCCACCTTCGCCGTCTCGTCAATGGACTCATCAGAGGCAGCCTTCTGCGCCTGCTCTGTGGCCTTGGCCTTTTGTTCTTGGCGCGCGCCATCCTGCTGCGTGTTGAGGAGCTCCTCGGCATCCTCCTCATCGGATGAGAAATCGGCAAAGTCAGAGTAGTCGACGTAGGTCGGCTCGGCAAAGACAACCGTCTTCTTCTTCTTGCCACGGAGCGCACTGCGGAAAGTGCTCTTAGACTCCTTACCCGCTTGGTCGCCCAGCATCGTGGCTGATAGCTTTGGGGAAATGTCAGCCGCGTTCTGGTCAAGGGGGGGGGGGGGATCGGCCGACATACGTCAATGTTCCGATGCTTATTCAAGCGCGCTAGCCTTTCGGTGGGCGTCTCGATGTGCTCGGCCGGTAGGTATCCTGCGATGATCAGTCAGTTGGTGGTTCCCCGTGCTCGTGGTGAGCAGCGCGCATACCGATGCTGTTGTCCTTAGCTACGCGTACCAGCCACCAGTAGCTGTTGCTGTCGTCGAGCAGCACCATGGTGTCGCCCTTGGTGGCATTGGCTTGACCTTCCACTGTGGCGACAAAAGTGTGAAGCGCATAGACAAAGTCAAA